ACAACTCACCAACTGCCTTGCTTAGCAACATAAATTTTGAGCTCATTGTTGGGTCGTAAATCGAAGACCTTTACCGCTTCTCATACAGCCTGGGGACAACAGAGATTTCTCCTTCCTGCCTGTTCCTTGCCATGAGCATCATCTTCCCAACCTCCTTCAACTGATCAGAGTTCCAGTTTTGCCACATACCAAAGAAAGGACAAAGGTGTGCAGAGAAGTCGAGGATCTTGCTGTATCAGGAGATTTTTTTAAAAAAAGAAAGGTGCAATAATGGCCCACCCCTTTGCAGATTTATTGGTACGGCTGTATTTTGCAACAATAGCCTGTCATGAAACAAGACTTATACACGTCTGCTAAGAAGTTAACCCCAGTGAGTTCAATCAAGATTATTTTCAACTGGCGAGTCTCAAAACACAGCCTAAATATAAGAATAGGACCATTTGCTTTAACATGGCTAGTTTTCCCTTCTACAAAAGACATACCAGATCACCCAGGATGTGTACAAACCTATTGTTCTGCATTTACAACTTATTTCTCATTTCCTTACTCCTCAAAAACATTTGGGCCCAGTTTATAAAATGTGCCATTGAAAAACAAGCTCCTCCCAACCTCCAAATGCTTTGAGCTTTAGGCCAGAAAGACATTAATAAACAATTTCTAGTATGTACGTCTGTGCATATGCATGCATGCACATCGTGCGATGGGAGTGGGGAATTGTTCTGCCACGTCTGCCAACACAGTCGTGTTAGTAAGTCTACCAGTTGGCAGGAAAATATGTCAACAAAAGTGAGGCCTGAGGTATTTGAAGACTGTGCCAGGTTTCGGTTTTAGATTTGAAGAAAGTACTGATTGACATACTTTTGTTGATTAAAGCAAGCTTGAGAGGATTTTCCTCTCTCACTGTCTTCAAGTGATGTTTTTAAAAAACCACCAGAATAAACATATGTTAAAACAAACATGCTAAAATATTTCAGGGGGATAGGAAAACTTTATTTCTGAAGTTACAATTTTATTTATACTTTGTAAAATGGAGCTTAAATCTTAATAAACAGATATAAACATATCAATCTTTCAGTGGAAAGACTGCAATGGTTTGATTATGACGATTATGACAATGATGTGCCATCGAGTCATTGTCGACTCTTAATGGCCACAATAGTTTTTTTTTCCATTATGATCTGTCCCTAATTTGGTCCTTCAGCTTTTTCAACAGTGCACTCATAATTACTGTTGCTGAGTCTATCCACCTTGTTGTTGGTTGGTCTCTTCTTCTCTTTTCTTCCAATTTTCCCAGCATCAGAGCCTTCTCCAGAGAGCTAGGTGTTTGCAAAATGAGTTAGAAGTAGGATAATTTGAACCTGGTAAATTGCACTTTGAGTATGAACCAGAGTTGATTTGTCCAACAATCCATTGATTTGTTTTCTTGGCTGTCCATGGTATTCTCAGAAATCTTCTCCAACACCAAAGTTCAAAAACATCAATACTCTTCCTGTGATGCTTCTTCAAAGCCCAGCTTTTGGTTCCAGAGTGTTACAGGAATGCCATGGTTTGCACAATACTGATCTTTATAGGTGTAGACACATCATTGCATTTAAACTGCCATATTTCAATGGGTATTCCATCAGTTCCTGTAGCCTTCCAAACTGGTAATGACCAGAGTGGTGGTCTAATTTCGTTTTCTAATCCTAGAGGTTCTCATAAGTCAGGAACTCGGGTATCTTATCATATCTTGGATATTGACTTCTCTATTGTACGAAATTTCAATATAATTCTTTCATTTTTGTTTGATCTTCCACCTCTTTTTATCCTGTGGTAAGATAATGCTAGCTATCAGCACTCTAATTCAAGACTGAATTTCAGAGAACTTTTCAAAGGCTTTTCTTGTTTTTCCATATCTATTTTTGCCCTCAATGTCTTTACAGGTGAAGTTGTAATACTGCTTCTTATCTCTTCTAACAGCTCTCTGAACTTCTGAGATTTTTGTCTTTCTTGGCCTTATTTTCTATCCATGTAATTTTCTTGGTGAACATATAATAGCTGCATTTGTTCATTCACAAGTCAAGTTAAAAACTAGCATATCCTATGAACGGAGACCCTAGAATATATGATTAAGGTAGAGCTTTTGTTCCAAAACTTTGTTATTCAGCCTCCATAGTTTTATCTATTACAGTATGTTTCATACATGTCTTTATAAGCCATGAGCCAGTAGGCAGCAATATAAATTTTCTAAATAAATAAAAAAAATAAAAAATCTGGACTTTGAAGCCTGGCAGAGTTCTGCTACACCACAAATCATTGTTTATAATTTGTTGGGTGTATGTTTATGTCCATGTTTGCATCAATCGTGGCTCCTGGAAACTAAATGGACAAGTCCCTACAGTTTTCTTGGCAACATTTTCGGAAGTGGTTACATACATATATTGCGCTAGGACAAAATCAAATCATGTTACTAATGCATAGTATGATATATGAATCCGTTGTTACTGTATTCAGCCATTGATACCATTTTAGGATCAATATATAGTACTGATTTTCCATTGCCTTCCACATTGTTATTACATTGTGGAATAAATGAACTGCATCTCCAGATTTGCTCCAGACTATCCTAATTTATTGGAAATACAACTGTACCAGGGATATGTATATTTCCAATTGGTATTACTTGCGAGATTAAAAAACGCCACCGCTGAAAATCATAGCATTGTTGTTATATCATTTTCTACAGGTTACTGGTGCTGCATCCTGTTGAGTATTGCTGCCAATTATCCATGACTGCTTATTCAACATGCTTATTACACAGCTCTTAGTTATATTAAATGGCCATTCTGCCATCTGCAGTCTCTTGGACACCAGACATATTATACCTGACAACCTATAAGACACGAAACTCTGGTAGGAGTCAGAACTAAAAGAAACGATATGTAAAACAGGCTATATGCAGGATGATCAGATTAGAGCTCTGGCAAAGGACCAGGCTGGTCAGATCTGGCAGGGTTGACGTGGTCCAGGGTCCAAGTTCCTTCAATTAAACAATGCCATCCATTGGGAGTCTGGAAACATACTTTTTCTGTACCAAATGAAATGAGATGCTCCCAAAATTCAAACAGCCCCGAAGATCTGGTTCTTCACCCTTTGGCAAGCATTACTAAAGCTCCTGTTTCTCTTTATTTCTGTCTGGTTTCATCATTTCTGCTGTCTGTTCTTTATTTTTGGAAGTATGTTTTTAACATTTTTAACAAATTTGTAAACCACCGGGAGGTAATGGGAGTCATGTGGCATATGCATTTAATTAATATTTTATCATTAATATTTCTAATTAATCATCATCTTCATTATTACTGCCTGCAGCAAACCAATACTTCATCCAAATGATGACACACATGGAAGCAAAATCCCCATTGCTGCCTCCTTTTATTCCAATGTCTGACGTAAATGCCTAAGTAGCAATTTTTGAGGCACATTTCATCCCTTCCCCACCCCCTGCCCATGTATATGCCACAGAATGTGACTTTTATTACTTGATTTGAGAAATATATGGAAAAGTCGATGTTGAGATCTTGCAAAAAGCTCGCTCAGCATCTGTGGATCTACTGCAAAGTAAGCCTGTGGATACATGATCAGGTGTCCATTGCAATTTTTAAACTAATCGCATCAAGAGGTAAATAGGTAATAAATAAATGAACAAATAAGTAATAGAAACAGATATTATAAGCTTCCAAAAAGGTGATAATTCAATGTACAAACCAAGCCATTAAAAAAAGCAAGTGGTCTGCTTGAATTTGAGAGCAGCAAACAGCAAGAGCTATACAAGAGTGGAATGGTCTACCTGTGAGGGCTGTGTTGATTCTCCATCTCTGGAGATTTTAAAGAAAAGGCTGGACGGCTACTATTCCATGATGCTTTAATTAGTTTTCCTGAACATGACAGAAGGTTGGACTAGATAATCCTTATCATTCTTTCCAACTCTGATTCTACAAAGAATATAAAGATCATCAGATAAGAAATCAAAATTGCTAGGAAGTAATTTCTTAACAAGCCTGACCATTGCTGAAAATTTTGACAACCAAGTATAAAGTGCCAAAATAGGTAAGACTGGCAGTGAACACACCATGTCGGTGTATATAGCCAATTCGCTAGTATTAAAACCAAGCAAGAAAGCAAAATAAAAGGGATCATCAACTGAGGCTAAATTTCCTAAATATAAAAACCAGTTTTCTGCAGCCCGGAATTGTGATCTTCTATATGTAACAAGGAGTCCTAAATAAATTGCAGCATTTTATGCTGGCCTCAATTTTGATATCTTTGAGTAGCTATATGTACTGACTGTGATGGCTAAGCAGGCAATTATTGTCCTTTTTAATTTTTTTTAATGATGATTAAAAACGACTTTTGGGCAAGGTGACCCAACCTAAATTCTCTATTGGAAAAGCACACCTGGGGACAGGAACGGGATCAGGACTGCTCTTCTCTAAACCTCACAAAACACCTGAATGGGGAAACGATGTGAATATTGTGGCGCTTCCCCAGAGATTTCCAAGCTCTGTTACACGAGGGATAAGAAATCCACGCGTGGTTTTCTGTTCATATTTTTGAGTTGTTGTTTTTCCCCCAAGCCCGCAGATGTGCACACTTGGCAACCACTTTTCAGCAGGCTTCATTCACATTGCAAAACAAAATACACCCGCCAGAGCAGGGAGCCTGCGTGGGCCGGGTTGGGCTTCTTTTTTGCCTTTCAGGAGTTTCACTCCAGCCCCCGCCCAGAGCCGGAGGTTGAAAAGAGCTGCGAAAAACAGGCGGGTCCCCACGACTGCAAGCAATCCCCACCCACCCCTCTTTTGTAACCTGAGCTAAGCAGCCCGAGCCCTTCCGTCCTCCATGGGGCGCGAGGGAGACGAAGCCCAGGAAGCCGCCAAGGGGGCGCGCGCGCGCGCGTGAGAGAGAGAAAGAGACAGCGCCTCCGCGCGGGTCTCTTGGCAAGAGTGCCAAGCACGTGGAGGAGGGGCTGGACGCGCAGGAGAGGCCAGCCTGGGCCGAAGGGCGGAGTTGGGAGGGTGGGCGGCTCGCGGGTTGCCCGCTCGGATGGGAATCCGAAAGGGGGAAATCCGTGGTTGGGGCCGGAGAGGAAGGAGCTAGTTGGAGCTCCCGGCGTCTGTCCCTTGCTGGAATCCGGATTTGCCGGGTGGTGGGACCCAGAGCAAAGGCTGGACCGAGAAATAAGAGGATGGAGCCCGTAACCAAGTGGAATCCGAAGCAAGTTGTGGAATGGACTAAGGGTAAGAAATAGGACTCCGTCTGCTCCTCCGCGCTTGGCTCTTTCTCCGGCTCAGCTGTTTGCTTAAAGGACGCTTCCAGCCCTCTTCTGCTTCTTCTCGAAACTTTTCTTGGCTAACTTCTCATCTTTGTTCCTTCTTTTCCCCGGGTCTCCCGATCTCTCCTGCCGGGCCCCTCTTTGCCTCCGATTCCCGGGTTCTACCGAGGGAGGAGGACGTAGATCACAGAGGGATCGTGCCTGCCGTTGTTTGCCGCTCTTCATCTGAGAAGGGCTTTTGCAAAAACAAACGAACGAACAACCCCAGTTCCTTGGCTACGAGCAAAACACACGCGCGCACATATTCGCCGATCTCCAGCAAGACCAGCTGGCCTCCCGCGCGGGTAAACAAACAAGCCAGCTCTCCGCGGCCCTTGAGCGCCTTATGGCAGTTTGGGATGAAGGCTTGGGCTCTGGGAGCCGATCGCGAGAGTTCACTGCTTTCCAGCTTTTGATGGTCATGCAAAAAGAAAAAGAAAAAAACAAACACCACACTCCGCCAAGCATTGGCCAGAGTCTAGTGAAGAAGAGAGCACGCGTGACCGTTGCACGTTAGGGCGCTCTTGAAGGAGAATAATGGGCATAGCGGTTCATAGGAAAGCCGAGGATCCCCATCTAAAGTGACCCCTCTCCCCCACCTCCGAGCTGCCCATTTAATGTTTGAAGCCAAGCAGGGTTCAAAATGGCCAGGAACCACCAGAAGAAGATGTGCGTCATTGGAGCCTGAGAAATATACGAGATTCCAGAGCTTCCCTTTTGAACGGATGTCCTGTTAGTAACTGAGGGTGTTTAAAGAAATAAATAATAAGTTATCTTGCATGTTACTGCTAAAGGTTGAGGTGGTAGGTTTTGCAGCTACCTCCTAGGTAAAATGCCAGTCTGAACGCAGCCCAATGTGTTTCTGGCCAAACATGCGGTGCTCCAGAACATTTCAATTTTAGGCATCACTTGTTTCCAAGAGAAAAGTGAATCCTAAGGGTGCATTAGTTGATTGGCAGCATTCCCGAACTTTTATAAACAACCCTGTTCCACCCCTCACCCCAAATAATGCACCACCTGTCTATTTAGATCAGGCTGGTCTACCTGGATGTGCAGAACCACAACCACTTCCATAATTTTGAGCCAGCTATCAGAGTGGCCCTGCTGGATTGGAGATATGTGCAATCCTGATATTGCAGAAATGCTTTTTGGGACTTCTGCTGTTTTTGATAAGCAGTTTTCTTTGATGTGTTCAGCTTCTAGGATATCTAGTTCAGGATATTTATCACTATTTGGTATTGTCAAAGATCTTCATTAATAATAAACAATCTTGAGTTGTGCTATACAGCCTTCCTAGTTTTCCCTCCACTATTTTCTAACTTGATCTTCATGAATTTTGGATGTTCAGCACAGTAGGATAATTAATTTGTTTCCAGAACGTATAAAAATAATAGATTACCATTTCAGTGAAAGATACATTTAATGCGGTAACTGCAAATAAGGATCCTTAAAGGTCACTGTAGAAGAAACACCTGGGTTAAAAGCATATTATAATTTTAATTATTCGCATGAAGTCATTATTTTGAAAACTTTGAAAGGAAACATGAAAGGTTGTGTATGCCAGGCAGAAACCATTGCCCGTGGCTCTTTCTGTATTTTTGTTACGTGATTTTACTCTCTTGGCCCATGGGCTTTGGTGGAGGCTACCACTAAAACATCTTTTATATTTCATTCAGGTTGAATTGAATGTTAATCCTTTCCTTTCTCTTTGCACTTGTACACCACTTATGCTTGGTGTATTAAAAGAGAACATGTGATACTTTCAATAATCCTGTTCATTTAAAATGTCTTTTAGACATGTGAAAATACATGTAAATGTGGCTAAATTATTTCACTCTGAATAGATAATGATCTGAAAATTTTTAAAATTTGTTTTTGTAAATGGAGTCTTGTAAATCATGAAAATGGATCCTATGACTCTGAAAACACTTGTGCTTATTTTGTGGCTTTATCCCTTGCCTCATGTGTGAGAGGTTCCTTTTTAGAGCTTTCTGGTCTTTCTGTGCGTATCTTTCTGGAAAAAAACTTCTTCAAAAGAGAAATTATGGAGGGTTTTTAAAGGAGGGGCGAAGGAAGAAAGGGAAATAAGAGGCGATGGGATGGAGGATCTTTCTATATGAAAGGGAAATTTGACTGTTTTGTCATGCTGCTTTAAAAAGAGAATTGAATATGTCACAGCTGATCTTGTACAACAATATAGGCAGCTGCATCCCAACAGAAGAAATCTGATTTTGCCATTAGCGTAATAGCTCCTATTATAGGAAAGGTATCATCACTTTGAATGGGTTATAGTTCAGCTAAGGAATAAGATCGCAATATGCCCAAGGTTTGCTGGCCTGCATTGTCAAAAGTCCCTCAGCCACTTTGATTCTTTATAGAAGTCATGTAAGAAGGACAGGTTAACATTTGCACTACTACATGACCTTGACATAATTCACTTTAATTGTGTGGTATGGTCCATTTTGGCCTAGTGCAGTATTTTTCAGGCTTGTCAACCTTGAAGATAATTCAAACTCTAGAATTCCCCAGCTAGCAAATCAACTTCAAACGGGCAAGGTTGAGAAACACTAGTCCAGTGGATTGCATAAACCAATTTGTTATGGATTATAAATAATGGCTTAGTGTGATATGTGAAATCAGTCTGTGGCTGAGTTGATGCAATAGTCTAGGCTAAAGTTGGTTTGTTTGCATCTTAGCATTCTACATGAATCAATATTTATGTTTTAGATTGTTACATGTACAGGTAATCATTGACTTACGCCCACAGTTGAGCCCAAAATTTAAGTTCTTAAGGGAGACTCTTGTTCAGTGAGTTTTGCCCCATTTTATGACCTTTCTTGCCACAGTTAAGTGAAGCATTGCAGTTGTTAAATTAGTAACACGGTTGTTAAGTGAATCTGGCTTCCCCATTGATTTTGTTTGTGAAAAGTTTGCAATAGGTGATTACATGACCTTGGGACAAAGCAAGTTACCAGTATGAGCCAAGTGCCAATCATCTGACTTGTGATCACATGATCATGGGGCTGCTACAAAGGTCATAAGTGAAAAATGGTCATAAGTCTCTTTTTTCAGTGCCATTGTAACTTTGAACAGTGACTAAATAAACTGTTGTAGCTTGAGGACTATCTGTACATAATTAATTGTAGTTTATTTAGTGAATTGTAATTTATCTGGCCAAGCATCTTGTGCAAATTCATCTGTTTTACATGTACAGTTGTTAATATTCCAAAGTGAAATCATGGTGTTTTTTTTTAACAGCATTAAACTCATTTATAACAATGTTATTTCCTTATTAAAAAAATTCTAGGTGCTTTCTCAGTAGCTGGGTTCTGTATCATATGAAGTCATGGTGGGTTTTAATCATAGTTTATTGAATGAACAATAGCAATGTTTCACTTGTATTTTTAACAATGATTTGCAGACAATGGTTCACCCTATTGTAACAATACTTCAGCCAAGTAGAGATGGCATCAGCATTTCTGGTTGGGAAAGTTTCCACCCTTTTAGAAAACATACAGTCACCAAAGAATACTTAGAGCCTTTTCAGGGTAGGAGTTCATTTGTAATCCCGAAAATAGTCCAGCTGAATAACTCAGGGCATGGAAGGGAGGCTTCAGTCTTGTCTCTCTCTGCATTGTTAGTTAAATAAACTGCACAAGTAGTTTGTTTAACTACAAGGTCACAGCAGCTATGACTTGATTTATCCCTTATACAAACCAAAATGAATGAAACCCATCAACTTATATTATTAGCACACTGTGAACCCAGCCACTGAGTGGAAGAATTATTTTATAGTTGTAGTATCTGACCCACATTGTGTGCTAGTGGTCTCACAGTATCAGGTTTTAAAAAAAATTCTCCAAATTGTTTCATGGAGAAACAATGTAATATAGGCAGAATACATTCGGAACAAATTTGAAATTACATACCCATAAATAATTTAGTGATTACAACATCATTTGGATTTTATTTTTAGACCACATTCTAACTTCTGCAAGCCAGAAAATATACAGTATGCATGTTATAAGCATGAATTATGCAAATGTTACTGGTCCAGTTAGATAGTGATCTGTTTATACAAGTGCTGCATTCAATGGCTTATTTAAGTGTCACCGTAACAAGATAAGATATCTGTTCCGGTTACAAAATAATTCAATAACACAAAAAAAACTTGGGCACTTCAGCATTCTCAGTTTAGGTTTCACTGAAGTCATGAGACTTTGGTGAATGACCTCTGGCTACTTTTTTTATAGTTTTCTTATTTCTCCTTGCTATCCTTTCTGCAAAATGGCAATATTTACCTTTCATATATTCCACTTATGCCCTGATCAAATGTTCTCTGGCTACTTCAAAGTAGCTCTCCATTGTTCTAAATTGGAGAGAATTATGGGACATGTACAATCTGAAGGACTTCAGGTTTCCTTTCTTCTGGACAATTCTTAAAACTGATTTTTTCACACTCGTGCTTCTGGGATATAGAGCCACAACTCTTTGTCACCACTAGCCAGCCCAGAGAGCAATTCATTATTGGCAGGATAAAAAAAAAGTAATAATTTGCATGCATAAGATGTATAATTTAAAAGAACAAAAAAGATTTGGAAGAGAAATGGAATTTGAGAGTTAGCAGGAAAATTTGAGAACTACAGTTTGTATTCCCTTCTTCAGAAGAGAGAAAGAAACCTAATCCTTTCATAAGCCTCATACCTTGAGATCCAAAACTGTATCTTTGACTGAACGAATTGGAGTTACAATCCATAAAACCCAAGGAACTGCGATCAGAATAAAACATGGCAACCTGTCTGGATTTGAAGGTGTTATAACCTCAGAGATAAGCTTCAGTTTTCTTATTTGTAAGCAGACCTTCACTGGTACCATAATGTAAGTATGAATCCTCTTGTAGATCTCAGCTATAGAGGCAATGACTCC